TTGGATTAGCCGGCGTGTTGACAGGCCCCATACGAGGCCGGGTACGTCCCGTCGTATGAGGGGTGACATTGTGATTGTGTTTGGTGTGTTGTGTTGGATAAATATTAGAATGTATGTATTTGTGTGGTGGTAATGGTTTATTTGATATTAGGAGCCAGGATAGATACGAAAGAGCTACGTGTGGCTTGATCCCTTAGTAGGGTACGTAGGCAGCCTGAAGTTACTAGGTGCAGCCACAGATTAGACCCCACTTAGGTGGTCTTATTGAGATTGGTTTGGACCTCGTTGATGGTCCCGAAACTTGGTTGAATTGAGACTCGTCCTGTGGACTAAGCAAGTGAAGGTGTGCATAAATAGATTTGGAATTTGGTTTATGCATGTTTGATGCATGAAGTTATTTTAAAAACATTGTGGGCAGTCCTGCTAGAATCATTTGAAGGCCGGAGGCCATTTACGTAAATTGCATGAGATTGTATTGTGCATGCTGCCGGTTGGGTTATAAAATGCGTTCTATGCATGTTGAAATTTTGGGGAAATGTTCAATTTACAGGGGAGACTCTGCCGAAATTTCGGCAGAAAGTCTCGTGCCCTTAATCCTCTATGGTAAATGAGGACATAGATTTAAGGAGTGAACCCGGCGTGGGTGTGATGCCGGGGTCTCCGCAGGGTTCGTCTCGGGTTCCGGGAAATTCGGGACGGGTCCTGTCACCTACAAAGTCCCTTGCTGCCTCCAATAAGCAATTCGTGTTTAATAGGAAAAAAAAAATTGGCTATCATAAATTAAAGAGTAGTTGCACACAAATGTCATTAACAATTTAGTTACATACCTGAATTTGAATTGAGATTTGAATATGACTATTTGATTTTGAGTGGTCTTTATGAATTTAGGAATTAGGGTTTTCTCTTTTTGGTGTTGAAATTCCTAAAATTGAAATAATAATAAAAAATTATCAAAGGATTGAAAAAAGAACCAAAGAGAGACTGATAAATGATGATGATTACTTACCAGAAAATCAGAGTTTAGAGAAAGAAGAAGCCATGAAGTTTTTTTTTGTTTTTTGTTTTTTTAATGAAGAAAGTACTTTTCTTAGAAGAGAAAACCTTTTTTTTAAAATAAAAAAATTTAATTTAATAAAGAACGATAGGTAAGGAGTAGAAAGTGTTTGGGGGATATATATACTCATCTTGTAGTTAGCGCTTTTCTTTGCGCTTTATTAAATGGCAAGCACTGGAGCCAACTCCACCAGACACACCCTTGTGTAAATGTCTAGCACGATATACTATATATACAATTCCTATAATATTATAATATATATATAATATAAAGAAATTTTTTTTCGGGCGCCCTGTGCGGTGGCGCCACTTGCACCACCCCAGGGCCGCCCCTGTGTAGAATAATAGCTACAAATATAACATTACAGAAACAAAACAATGACATAATTATGCTCTCTGGCTGTTTTTATCACCAAACATTGCTTCTGCTTCTGGTTTGTATCAGAGTAAACTGGTTTGACCAGATTATATCCTATTTATTATCACCTCTTATGGAAAATTCACATCCAAAAATTTGATTTCTGGGACAGAAGCCTATGCTGAATTCAATTTGCCTGACGGCTGACGGCTGACGGCTGACGCAGTCCATGTAATGATTCAATCGATGCATTTGAATATGCTCTGCTCTACCAATTAGAATTCATAAACTAGCAATCTAAGATTATGTTCCCTCCAAACTTGATCAACCACATCCACATTTCCATAATGTTTTATGACTTGTAAATCTAAAACATTTATATGTATTTCTTTGCTGCTTGCAGCTTCAATTCAAATGCCATTTATTTACTTTTTACTCGCAATTCACTGAGAATGATGGGTTCCTCAGTTACAGCATTTACACTTTGCATCATCTCATGTGTACTGAATCCATCATCTTTGGCATAAAAAAAGTGCAGCACTTTGCTCATGTTCCAAACCAAATCCTTGCAAGCCCTTTGTACTATGCTACCCGACTCCTGTAAAACTAATCGTAGCAGCTCTCCCCTCTTACTTTTTATAATACTATTTATCTCATTGATGGCCTCTTCTTCAGTAACGACACCGTTCCCATGAATCATGGTCAACGATAGAGCATTTAGCTTCCCTTCAGCGGAATCCCTCTGCAACACGGCCAGGAGTTATGAGTTAACGATAACAAATTGGATACTAGTTTTTCTTTTCGAAAGATTAATGTGGACATATTATCTACCTTGAAGCCTTGGATATCATTCAGAAGACGTCCACAGGTGCTCATAAGTCTATACAGCTCATGCAATTCGGAACTTCCTGTTGGAATTTTAAAAGGTTTTAAAAATTTAACCGTTTTATTTATTTAATTATTTTGGCTGTTTTATTTTATTTATTGTGGGGTTATAAATATTTAATATTCAGGTTTTATTTTTGGTTGGTGAATGCCTTAATTTTTTGGTTGGTGAATTTTTATGGTTGGTGAAGGTTACATGTTTTTGGATGCCTATAAAAGGCTACTCCTCCTTCACATTTGAAATAACCACAATACACTATCAAAATATCACATACACATTCTAATTCTTCTTTTTTCTACTTTTACATATATTCTCTACTTTATATTATTATTATTATTTTGGGCAATGGTTATGTGACTTGGATACTTATATCTGTCTATGAACGTGCTCATAGCGGATCTTGAGTTTGTATACAAGGGGGTCGTATCTTGGAGTCTTGTAGACCGTCAGTACCTGCACGTAGGGAGGCTACAAAGGCTTTAGGACAGCGTCTTTGACGTGCTTCACCATACCAAACTCACCTTCTTACCTATTATTTATTTTCCTTTTATTTCCCTATTATTTTGTTTTCTTCAATTTCATTATACCTTCAAAGCTTTTCAATTTGTTTATATGTTATTTATAATATAAATATTTTGTATTTGGCTTTACGAAAAGAGGAAAACTATTATTTTTTGTAACACTTCCTACAACCTCCTCTGAAAGCTCATGCCCAACAAAATAGAGAGCTGGAAGGACAATTGGTCCAATGCCCATTGATATATATCCATTTGTCATATACTCCTCCATTGTTGGCACTGACTTGTTTCTCAACCACTCAGCTTCCTTCAGCCCAGACTTGAGCAAATCCAACCACTGAAAATCAAACATAGCTCAATTCATCCCTAGTTCCATGAATAAAAACAAGTTGAACTTGATAAAAGAAGCTGGTGAGGAAGACGTAGGCCCCGTTTGGGATTGCTTTTTTTGGCCAAAAATCTTATTAGGTTAGAAATTTATCCTCACGTATTTCTCACAAATCTACAGACACCAAGTTCATCACGTAGCCTCCCAAGTTTGGAGACAACCATTCGCTCAATCTCTCTCAATCTCTTTCACAAGGTAGATTATCAATCTCTTCAAAGTTATTGATTATAATTTTCTGGGATATTTTTATTCTTCAATCTCTCAAACTTTTTGTAGACGTGCTGTTTCTGTGTTTTTTTTTTCTACTGGAGTTTCTGTAGAACTAGCTGCTGCATTGCCAGAGCGCTTTTCTATGGTAGCTCCTGGAGTTGTTGTTGGAGGGTGCCTTTTGTCTTCCCTATGCATCACATGTTCTCTGTTTCTTTATGTGTGCTCCTGCCTTACATCTGTTTTTCTCCATTAAAACTTGAAACTTAAAATTCAATTCCAAAGTCTCCCTTGTAATCTAACCATATGATCGTGCCAATTAGATTGTCTATTATGTTGTTTGTTTTCTTGTATTGTTTTGGGGAAGAGATAGAAGTTCGTTCAGGAGCATGAAGTCCTGATGTTTGTTGACAATAACTTTGGGTATAAATTGATGTATGTTCACAAAAGATTCTTAGCTTAAAAAAGAGGTGATATCAGTGGGATAATAGGGCTACATATTTTGCTCATATATATTTCAATTGAAAGGTACGTACTTCTAGTTTTTTTTTTTTCTGTACCAGCATGCTCACTTTCTTGGCTTGATAATCAGTTTGGTCTCACTACCATTGCTTACACTATCAACAGCTTCAGACTTTCCCACTCAATATTCTTGATGAAATAAAAGAAATAAAAGTTTGCTCTTTATTTTTATTTTCCATAAGTGATATATGTATAGTTTTTCTTTGACTTCAATTAATCCTTGTTATCTTGTACAACTTGGTGTATTGCTTTTGATGTATGTAGTTTTGCCCCATTTTTCCTATATGTAATTACTTAGGCACTATGCATATTTTTAGTAAAAATTTTATTTGCTATAACATGTTCATCTCCCAATACATATATATTTATATAAGGACATGCACAGATGGTGAAGAATAATAATATGGCTAGTAGATCACGAGTTCCGGCTGTATGGAATAATTAGAATACAACTATATTTTGTGACATGTGTATCAAGGAGGTGGAGGCAGGCAATCGTCCTGGTTATCTATTTATCTTTGTTGAAATTTATTCAATACATAATTCTGTTTGTTTATCCCAGACCTTGAGGTTGTTCTAGTAGAATATGAAGTGATTGTGTATTATGGTATTTGAGGCTAAAAAAAGAAAAAGCAGGTTATATTTGGTCCTAGAAAAGAAATGATATATATATTTTTTAAATTTGAATTTGAATTTTTACTTTTCTTTAAGCAAAGATTAATATAATTTTTTGGGAGAAAAGTATAAAAGCACTTTACAGTTTTATTTTTTTACCAAACAGATTAGTAAAAAGCACTTTCAGCATCATGTCCATTTTAGTCATTATAAATAGTTACAACACTTTAACGGTAAAATTTACCAAACGCTTTGACACTGCTTTTCATACTCACAGCACTTTTAAAATTACAGTTTACCAAACGTTTAACTGCTTTACTTTACAGCTGATTCTTTTTAAAGTACAGCAGAAGCAACTTCTTTTTAAAGCGGCAGCAATTCCAAACTAGGTCATAGTGCTTTTAGAAAGGAAAATTAAAAGATTTTAACTTACACTCAATTATGTCATTTGTCACACTGCGTCCTTGTCGTGTGAATGCCTTGACTCCAAGCTCATTAATTGTGTTCTTAAGTGCTGAAAATATAATTTCAACATGCTCGGAACAACAATCAACATTCACATTCACATCCCACCTGAGGTTCAGACACAAGGAAGTTTAGGCCCTCAATGCTAGAAAAACAAAATAAGGAGCACAAGCATAAATTGCTGACCAACAAATTGATCCAATGGAAATAGGAAGGGAATGGGAACAGGAAACGTACTTCTCGATCAATTGTATAAGGTTTACCAGCTCCTCCTCAGAACCTCCAACGTCAGTGAAATCATCAACCACAGTTGTAAGCACTCCACTTTTAACCCATGACATGCGAGCATCTGATAGTTCAGGAGGGAAAATGTCACGCCCCGGACCCGGGGGTTGGTGGAAACCCCGCGCCCGGTGCATGAGAAAATAAAAACTAAAATAAAAAGATGTCGAAACATAGTTTAAAATTCTCTTATAAAAATAGCTCAAAATTACAACTTTACAGGAAATAAATAATACAAATTTATAAATAAACCCAATCTTAGACATGTATTTATAAAAAAACCCAAACACTATTTAAACATAGAAACACACCCAAAATCAACCACAAAATCAACAATTGTATATTTTTTGGGTGTGTTTATAAATGGGTTTTGAGTGTATGTAATGATGGGTTTTTGGTGTGTTTATAAAGTGTTTTGGGTATTGGGTTTTTTTATAATTTCAACCCCCATTTTGGGTGTTTTAGTGAAAAAGCTCTATAACTCTCATCTAATTCAGCCTCAACTGGTTTAGTCTTTTTCTTGCCCACTAATTCATCTGAAAAATTAAACAGGGTGAGGGGTGAGCAACCACAGCTCAGTAGGGACATGAGACCTTACCACAGTAGATTGATATAACTAAATTAAGTGACATGCAATCACATAACCAAATAATACTAATAATAATACATGAATGCTCTTCAATTCTACCCAACTCGTTAATTTATAGAATAAGGCAAGCAAATCTGCATGTCCCATACCATGCATTTTACCACTGTGATTCCGAATGCCTCATTATATAAACTAACACCCATCTCAGTTATCCCATAATTCCCCTTTTGCTAGTCATCTTGTCTACACCATTGATCTCCAAACCCAAATCACCCAATCAACAATTATACCGCCGATTTCCTAGTCTACTGTGCACACGGGCTCGCCTGAACTTGGTCCCTACAATGGTCAGACTCAACTACACAAAAGAACCTTCTCATTACCCTCTTTTCAATAATTTCTTTATTAATCCAAGAATTCTAAAATTCTTGTACTCTGTGTTGTAAGATTTTATTGCTCTCCTGCTTGATAACTGGCCCAAACTTGCGTAGAAAGGAAACTTAAGAGCATCATCCACCTTCAAATAATCAAAAGGTTAAATTTGAGGGAATTACCTTGTGATTATAAAAAGCTAAATCACCAGATCAACAACAGAGACTTATCACAAAATTACCTCCAGGCCAATATGCTTATTGAGTCTACGAGCCTGAGTTAAAGTATTGGATAACTCCTGTTTCAGGAAATGACTCATCCAGTTATTTTGTTTCTCAAGAACCGATTCATCTGGATGTATGATGATTTCTGAAGCCTTAAACAATTCCAAGGCAGCACCAATGTCCTTCATATACCCCCCAAGGGAATTGAAGAAACGATCTTCTGTAAATTGACTTAATGGATCTGCAAGACAGCATAAATCAATTGAACATTTCTTGCCAAAACAAAGTCTTGCATACCAAGGCACCTAAACTGACAAATACCTGCAGAAATATCATATCCATGAACACTTAAGCTTTTACAGCTGAACTCCACTTCATTTCTTATTTGAGATTAAATTAGAAAAATAAAATTAAAAACTTTAAAAGAAAAGATAGTATAAAATTAACACGGTTAGACTACATAATTGGAGTGGGACCAATGAGGTGTTAGTTAGATTGGCCATACCATTATTGTGTTCCCAAGTCCTGGGTTCAAGTTTCTCTCTCTCTCTTTTATAACTTTGGCAAAAAAAATAAAAAAAATAAAAGAGCAATTGGAGTGGATAGCTGTCGGCACTTAGATTGGCTTTTAGATCTGTGTTTTTTCTTTAATTTAAGTTTTTACATTTTTATTCAAAATTAACACAGTTAACTTTAGGATTAAGTAGTGCAGGTTCAGTTCCTACTGTATGCATCACCACTGATAAACACCAAAACAAGCTATATCCACTGGCCAATAGCACACGCCAGCAATAAAAGCTTCAACAGCTGGTTGACCAATGTAAAGGATAATGTACCCATGCATCAAAATTTCCTTGCCAAGCTACATGAAGCAGATTTTAAGAAATTTTGGGGTGAAAATAGAAACGATGTGATGCTGAACGCCTCCTAATAGATCGTATCAAATTAGAAATACCTTTTATTTCATACTACTATTTCCATACATAATTTAAGAGTCTAAAAAATATTTTTATATTGCGAAGTAATTTTTTTCTTGTGAAGCACCCATTTCGGTACTAAGGGTGAGTTGACATAGCCCACAGTGGAAGAGCCACCCAACAAAGGGTATGGAAGAATCATGCAAGCAACCAATGGTTTCGATCATGTGCTCTAAGTAATCATCAAAGCAACCAATTTCTAAAATGATTCAGACTATTAATCCCCTCAATCTCTAAGTCATCTCGAAACTCCCAATCCAAGTTTTCTAAACCAGGTCCAGCTAAACCCAAAACACAACAACATAAATTAGGGAGAAGCCGATTTTTTGGGAGCAGTTTAGCCACTTCCTGAGCAAGTACCAGAGGAAGTACACGCATGCATATACATACGATCAGAAAAAAAATGTGGTCTAGACAAAATTAAGGGTCATTTTATTTGATCCCAAGAATCTTCTTTTTTTTAACCCAATACACTCTTTGCACTTTAATATCCTCTGCTCTACCAGTTAGAGTTCACCTTCAATGACTTCGATGAAAAAAATATTTGAGTCCGGGCAAATATGTTTTTGGAGGTGAAAAATTTCAAGTTAGTCCCATTTGCATTGGAGATGGCCTAAGCAAGAAGCTTCAAGTAGGCAATAGCTACAACAATCAAGGGTGTCGAGCCAAGAGCTCACCAACCTAAATCAACTAAGGTGCCCAATAGCCTTTTTCAAGGAGCTGAGATGTGTAGTAGCAGCTATATGAGTGAAGGGTCAATAGCCAAGACGAAGATCTATACAACTAGAAGGCCAATAGCCTATAGTCCTATGTACTCAAAGTCATGTATTATTTTTCTCCAGTCTAATTAGATCATTTTGTTTCAATTATTGTTCTTATCGTCGTAAACTCCCTTCAACCTACAATCCAACATTTTGTGACTGGTAAATAATAATTATTTGTAAATCGTAGCTCTGTTACAATTCACTGGCAATGATGAGGTCATCAGTCACCGTCTTCATATCATGTGCAGTGAATCCATCATCCTTTATATAAATCCTTACAGTCATATAAAATTCAAACATACAAACAAATATTATATATGCCGAATATGAGAAGGGTCAGCTGACCACCGCCCATCGGCTTTATTACCGCTAGCTCAGTCCGGACCAGAAGATGTTTAATTTATCCCGTTCACGGATTCGATGGACCATCCGATGGACCCGAGCCAATTGGGTCATTTGCTCTTATTTTCTTTGCCAGGTGAATATTATTCATTTTCAGAAGCTCTCTACCTTTGTTCTGTTCTGCAATGACAATAAAAAAACTTGATTAATAATCATGACCCTCGTAGAGAGAGATTTCTATTGTTTCCAGAAAATGAGGATCCGTTGAGAGACATACATATACATGACCCTCGTAGAGAGAGATTTCTATTGTTTCCAGAAAATGAGGATCCCTTGAGAGGCCCCACATGGCATTGTAGTTCAACAATATATAAATTCTTTATAGTCTCTATTTAAAGATTCTCTTGCAAAAGGTTAGTCCAATTGAAAATCATTCATACATCTAATTGTAATCAAAGATATATGCGAATACACCTTTTTGATGAAAACTCTAAGTTTCGTTGAACACGAACATAACACACATACATAGAAGATATATATAGATATATATATATATATATATAGATATATATAGATATATATATATAGATATATATAGATATATATATATATATGTTTTGGGAGAGAAAAAGACAGAGAGGAAGAGAGAGGAGAGAGGCACATTGGATTGTTAGAAAAAAAAAAAAACTGAAAAAACAGATATTTTTTATTTTTAATAATTGTGATATTTTTGAGTTGTTTTTGAGTTTGAGTTTTTAAAAATAGAGCTACTAAACATGTTTTCTTTGTTTTGGATTCAAATTCTGTCTTTGAGATTAAAAAAACCACCTTCCTTCTATTATATATAATGCCAGTAAACACCGCACAAGTGGTAGTGGTTTCCACTGATTTCTTTAGTCAAGGTCTTTGCGCGTTTCACAACACTACCGCACCTTCCTCTATGTGAACCAAAACTGATTAGTCTAGGTTTTTGTGCGCACAGGCCGGTTCTAACATGTTAAAAACGTCTTCTTTTTCCTCATATGAGGACTCTTTTGTATGTATAATATAATAGTAAATTGAGTTTAGACCAAAGACCAAAAACCAAATGTAGTACCTAATTTTACAAAAATATCATTAAAAAAAATCAAAATTACACACAATGTCATTCTTTCTAAGGCAAGCATACTATGCCACATGTCCATATCTAGCCAACCACCATCGCTGGCCAACTGCCGCAGGCCACCATTGCCGGAATCCCGCCACCGGCCACCTGCCAACACCACCGCCGGCCACCACCGTCGCCGACCACCTGCCATCACCACCACCCGTCGCAGGCCTGCCACCGTCTGCAGGGGACCAATTCCGTTGCCCTTTATTCACCTTTAAAAAAAAATATTTTGTGTCATTGAATGGACTTGAACATTGATTCTCAAGGAAGAAGGCAGAAAAGCAATATAATCTTTAAAACACTACAATCGCGACCAAGAAGCAAATCGTTATGTGAGTTCAGATAGGGTTTTGACATACCAGAATGAGATCAAATAGGGTTGATTGGTCATTGTGATCAGCGCCGATCTTGAACTTAGCAATATAGTGATCGTAATGCTCTTCATCTTGAGCCAAAAGACCTTGGAGTTGCCGGTGAAGGCCGAAGGGATGAGCAGCTTAAGAATTCTATAGCAGGTGAAGGCTGTGGTCGTCATTGCTGTGGAGAGAGAGAGAGAGAGAGAGATCTAATATGATAAAAATAAAAATAAAATAAAAAAAGGGAAACCAATTAATCTTTTAAACAAAAAGGGTATAATTGTCTTTTCAGTTATTAATATAAGGTGGGCCAACAAATCTGGGCCTCCTCTTCAGCCAAATCCAAAACAAAATTTCATTCCTAGGTATTAAAGCCCAAACAGAAATATTGTTTGTCTCAAATACTAATTAGTAAAGATAGTTATGTCTATTACCTAATTTTTGCTAAAATTTATTTTTAATCACCTACAACTCTTTCCTTTATTTTTCTATTTAAAATACTCAATTTTTTCAAATAAAACCCGATTACTAGGATCCAAGTAAGAAAAGTTACTTAATTTAGATTAAAATATGATTTATTATATTTTTGGGATTCCAAAACTACCCCTATTTACAAGTTAACATATTATATGAGGGTGTAACTAATGACACACATTGAATTTGGAAAGATCTCCAAATCGTTTAAATGGAAGTAGGAATTAATTTAGAAATGTATTTGAAATTAAATATTAAATTCAACATTAATGTATTAGTAATCTATAGGTGATTAACGTTTTGGTTTATTTAATAAAAAAATTATGTTGTTTTCCTTTTATGAATTATACGACTAGTAATCTATTTTATTATAGTTTTATGAATAATAGTGTACATTCTAATTATGTTAAAAAATAATTTGATAATCTAGTTATTATTTGATTTATGAAATATTTCTCCAAATAATGTACTATAATGAACCTCTTTTTCTCTAAATTTTTTATCTATTTTTTTCTCTAAATAATGTACATATTACTTGTTTTATGAAAAATAATTTGATAATCTATTTATTGTTTGTTTTATGAATTTTTTTTTTTAAATGAACCTTTTTTGTTTTGCTCTAAATAATGTACCTATTTTTTTGCTCTAATAATGTACCTAGTAAGAAAATTTACCTAGTATAATGAACCCACACACCTTCCTTTATGTGATTACATTAAGTCAAGGTCTTTGCGCGTTCACAACCCACACACCTTCCTTTATGTGAACCAAAACTACAAAGTCAAGGTCTTTTATTTCATACCACTATAACCCGTAGAAGAAGAGCCACCCATATTGCCATGGAAACCTAAGGATGGTCACTGTTCATGCGAATAATTTCTGCACTAGCAAATTTTTTTTTGCTTTCCCACCCATTACCATGGCAACCTAAGGGCAATTACTATTCACATGAGATTAATTTTATTTATATGTATGAGATTAATAATAAAAAATTGTAGGTATTTATAACAAAAAATTCTGAAATTTTTGGTAATTTTTCAGAATTTTTTTTCAATATTTTTCCAATTTATTTCTTCGCTCATCTCAGTGCCTTCAAGCACTAGCTCAGGCTGGGCTTACCTTCAGGCATACCCAGTCTTGACGGAGCCCACGTCCCCTGCTCGGGCTGGAATTCATTGGTGGAGCGGTTTTTTCAACCCAAGGGACCTTTTGCCATGATAAAACCCCATAGGTGGAAATGCTCCTATGTTAACCAAAACTAATTAGTCAAGATTTTGGTGAGTACAGACAAGGATGGGTTACCATGTCCACCCTGTCATTAGTTTTGGACTAGCTATCAATTTCATCAATTAAATTCAACAAGAAAATTCAAAATTTGCATTTAAATCTATGAATAAATGCAAGACTGACTTTAACTGAGGTGTAGAAAGACTTTAAAGTCTTCTCCTATCCAAATGAGAAATTATAGAATAGAATGGATACACCACGTCAAAATGTGTATCTTCTACTCAAATATAGCCACGTGCTTAAACTTTTACAGCTGAACTCCACTTCATTTCCTTATTTCAAATTATATTAGAAAAATAAAATTCAAAAACTTTAAAAGAAAAGATAGTATAAAATTACCACGACTAGATTACCTAATTGGAGTGAGACTAATGAGGTGTTAGCTGAATTCGCTCAAGCCATTGGTGTGCTCCCAAGTCTTGGGTTCAAGTTTCTCTCTCTCGTTTATAATTTTGGCAAACAAGAAAGAAAAAAAAGAAGAAGAGTAATTGGAGTGGATAACTAAAATTTTTTACATTATTTATCCCTAAAATTTTTAAATTATTTTTTATTTCTAACAAAAAGCCATTAAATATCATGATTACTCAAAATAAACACAAAAGAAATTAATACCACAGTGGAATGTGCACTCTCTTTGGGTGAAGATGTCGAAGGTTCAATGCTCTCAATGGTGCAATATTTTTACATTTAATTGAGCTTTATGCCATGGCCGGTCCGATTCAGGTAAACTGGTTGGCTGACATAAGTTGAACTGTAAATCAGACCAAAGAGACCGGTTCGATCCAATTAGACTGGGTTTCAGGTCTGGCTCTTGAAGAGCGGGAGTTGGAGATGATCTCTCCTTAAACCACATCCTTAGCCAATTATTTCAAAGCACAAAATCATAGAATATCAAAATTGAATAACAATTAAACTTACAATTATTTGGCAATATTCATTATTTGAATATGAAAATCTTATTTTAAAATCAGTAATTAAATTTTAAAAAATAAGTATTGCATTTATGACAACTAGAAGTAAAGCATTTATGACTCTCCAAATGAGAGTCATAAATTAGGGACTGTGGTGGAATTTGCTTAAGAGTAGGTGAGGTCAACCTTGTGTCCACAAAATTCAGACATTGCTTTTATAAGTCGGACTTTAACAGAGGCGACTTCAAAGTCTTCTCCAATATTCCAAATTTGCGGAAAGTAGTGAACAGGAGGTCTCAAGTCATCTCAACCAAATTTGCGGATTGCTGGATATTGCGGAAACGGAACAGTACATGTAGAAAAATAGCTATAAATAAAGCCATCAAATACACAATTGTATGAAGAAACAAAAAACAATGACAAATTTATTACGCGGTCTAGCTCGCCTTATCTTGTATGTCCAGCTGTTCTTATCACCAAACATTGCTTTTGCTTCTGCTACTTCTTCTGAGGCCGAGGCTCTTCTCAAATGGAAAGTTACCTTTCAAAATGAAACCAAAAATAATCTGACCTCGTGGGCTTACTATCCTAACGTAAATACAAACCCATGCAACGTTTGGACTGGTGTTTCATGCAACACTGCTGCAAGTGTCAACAGGATCAACCTCACCAATTCTGGGATTCAAGGTACGCTATATGAATTTCCATTCCTGTCCCTCCCTAATCTCGAATATGTTGACCTCAGCTTGAACCAACTCTTTGGTGCCATCCCATCTCAGATCAGTTCCCTCTCTAAACTCATCTATCTTGACCTTTCTCATAATCAGTTGTCTGGGAAAATCCCACCAGAAATTGGTCTTCTAAATAGTCTTCAAGTCCTGCACCTAAATGAGAATCAATTAAATGGCTCAATCCCTCAAGAAATCAGCCAGCTTCAGTTTCTTAATGAGCTTTGTCTGCAAAAAAACAATTTAACAGGTCCCATTCCTCCAGATTTTGGAAAATTAAAAGACCTAACCATGATGTACTTGTTCAAAAATCAACTTTCTGGTTCTATCCCTTCCGAAATTGGAAATTTGAAGTCTCTAGTGAATCTAGGCATTTATAAGAACAATCTATCTGGTTCAATCCCGACATCTTTAGGTAATCTAACAAACCTTACCCTTCTCTATGCCTATGAAAATAAGCTTTCCGGCGTAATTCCAAAAGAGATAGGGAACTTAAAATCTCTTGTGGACCTACAGTTGAGCGAGAATCACCTTAATGGTTCCATCCCCTCTTCGCTTGGTGACTTGAGCAACCTAGAAATCTTATTCCTACGTGATAACCAACTTTCTGGCCCCATCCCCCAAGAGATGGAGAATCTCAAGAAGTTGGCTGTGCTGCAATTGAAAAATAACAACTTTTCTGGTTAAATACAAACCCATGCAACGTTTGGACTGGTGTTTCATGCAACACTGCTGCAAGTGTCAACAGGATCAACCTCACCAATTCTGGGATTCAAGGTACGCTATATGAATTTCCATTCCTGTCCCTCCCTAATCTCGAATATGTTGACCTCAGCTTGAACCAACTCTTTGGTGCCATCCCATCTCAGATCAGTTCCCTCTCTAAACTCATCTATCTTGACCTTTCTCATAATCAGTTGTCTGGGAAAATCCCACCAGAAATTGGTATTCTAAATAGTCTTCAAGTCCTGCGCCTAAATGAGAATCAACTAAATGGCTCAATCCCTCAAGAAATCAGCCAGCTTCAGTTTCTTAATGAGCTTTGTCTGCAAAAAAACAATTTAACAGGTCCCATTCCTCCAGATTTTGGAAAATTAAAAGACCTAACCATGATGTACTTGTTCAAAAATCAACTTTCTGGTTCTATCCCTTCCGAAATTGGAAATTTGAAGTCTCTAGTGAATCTAGGCATTTATAAGAACAATCTATCTGGTTCAATCCCGACATCTTTAGGTAATCTAACAAACCTTACCCTTCTCTATGCCTATGAAAATAAGCTTTCCGGCGTAATTCCAAAAGAGATAGGGAACTTAAAATCTCTTGTGGACCTACAGTTGAGCGAGAATCACCTTAATGGTTCCATCCCCTCTTCGCTTGGTGACTTGAGCAACCTAGAAATCTTATTCCTACGTGATAACCAACTTTCTGGCCCCATCCCCCAAGAGATGGAGAATCTCAAGAAGTTGGCTGTGCTGAAATTGAACAATAACAACTTTTCTGGTCATTTGCCCCAAAATATTTGCGGAGGCGGATACCTAGAAAACTTTACAGCACAAAACAACCACTTGATAGGTTCAATCCCCAAAAGCTTGAAAACTTGCAAGAGCTTAGTGAGACTTCGTCTTGAAGGGAACCAACTGACAGGCAATATATCTGATGACTTTGGTGCCTATCCAAATCTTAGATTCATTGACCTAAGCCACAATAACTTGCACGGTGAGATCTCACACCTCTGGGGACAGTGTCCACAATTAGAAACCCTACGAATTGCGGGGAACAAGCTTACTGGTAGTATACCACCTGAGATTAGCCATGCAACCCAAATTCATGAACTCGATCTTTCTTCCAATAGTTTAGTCGGGGTGATCCCAAAGAACTTTGGGAGATTGACTTCTTTGGTGAATTTGATGTTGAATGGCAATCAACTTTGGGGTCCTATACCGTCAGAATTTGGATCGTTGACTGATATTGAATATCTTGACTTGTCCACCAACAAATTCAACGAGTCAATTCCAGGCATTTTTGGCGACTTTCTCAAATTACACCATTTGAATTTGAGCAATAACAAGTTCAGTCAAGAAATTCCGTTTCAGTTGGGGAAGTTAGTTCATGTGTCCCAACTTGATCTAAGTCACAACTCATTTGAGGGTAAGATACCATCAGAAATGAGCAGTATGCAAAGCTTGGAGACATTGAATCTTTCCCACAATAATCTTACCGGTCTCATTCCAACAAGTTTTGATGAAATGCATGGCTTGAATGACATCGACATATCCTACAATCAACTGCAGGGTCCAATCCCCAACAATAAAGCATTTCAAAATGCTCGAATGGAAGGGAATAATGGATTGTGTGGCAACGTTGGAGGACTAAAACCCTGCAATCATTCTGTGGAGCATAAGCATACCTCAAAGAAGGCGTTCTTAATCATTTTCCCTATCTTGGGAACACTTTTACTTGCTTTCCTGACATTTGTTTTGATTGGAAGAAGAAGAAGTATAAGAAAGCAAGAACAGGAAATCAAACAGAGCAATATGCACGAAAGCTTTTTCTCAATATCTAATTTTGACGGAAGAAAAATGTATGGAGAAATCATGGAAGCAACCAATGGTTTTGATGTCGTTCATTGCATCGGGAAGGGAGGACAGGGAAGCGTCTACATGGCAAAGCTCCCATCAGGCAGCATTGTTGCAGTGAAGAAATTCCATCAAACACTTGATGGTGAGGAGGCATCTCGGAAGGAGTTCCTTAATGAAATAAGGGCCTTAACTCAGATACGACACCGAAACATTGTGAAGTTTCTTGGCTTTTGTTCAAGTGCCCAACACTCGTTTTTGGTCTATGAGTATTTGGAAACAGGTAGCTTGGCTGCAATCTTGAGCAACGAGAATGAAGCTGAAAAATTGGACTGGAGCACAAGGGTGAGAATTGTAAAAGGTGTTGCTCATGCGTTGTGTTATATGCATCATGATTGCTCACCACCAATTGTGCATCGAGACATAACAAGCAGCAACATTTTGCTGCACTGTGACTATGAGCCTTGTGTTTCGGACTTCGGGACTGCTAAGCTTTTGAATCCAGACTCGTCGAATTGGACTGCTCTTGCAGGCACATATGGATATGTAGCACCAGGTAAAATACTAAAATACAGAACTTTTCATTATAAAAAAATTATTATTATTAAGTCTAGATATAACTATATCGATGATTTTCTCTTCTTTCATTTGTATGCAGAGCTAGCTTACACAATGAAGGTAACAGAGAAATGTGATGTTTATAGCTTTGGAGTGCTGGCACTGGAAGTGATTTTGGGAAAGCAGCTAGGCGATTTTGTCTCCTCCTTTTCGTTTCCATCCACCACCTATGCAAACATATTGCTCAAGGATGTACTGGACCAACGCCTTCCCCCTCCAACGCCTCAAGTTCTAGATGAACTCATAACCATTGCAAGGCTATCAATTGCATGCAGACATTCCCATCCACAATCCAGGCCAACAATGCACCTGGTTTCCAAGGTATTATCGTTCCAACCGGCTTCTTCCTGTAGAGGACCAGACGATACTACACTTGAACAACTCATTACGATCTAAATTGAACAACTATTTTGAACAAATAGACCATCCTCGTGTTTAAACATACTGTATTTCATATGAACTTTAGCATGTATATTGTTTTTCAACTCGATTAAAATCTTCAACGTCAACTATCCTTTCATCCAAGTGCTGAGTTCTGGTTTGTATCAGTGTAAAATGGTTTTGCCATATTATCCCATTTATTACCACCTCTTATGGAAAAATCACATCCCAAATTTCAATTTCTTGGACTAAAAGCTTGTGCTGAATTTATAATTTGCCAGACGCAGCTGGCTCAGTCCATAACGATGCAATCGATGCATTTGAATATGTTCTGCTCTACCAATTGGAGTTCATAACTAGCAATCTTAACCTTCTAATGCCTTAATGAATTGAGCCACATGATCGTACAATAAGTAAAATAGCCATGGCCAATAAAGAAAAGAGAAGCAGAACAACCATAGAGATAACTATAAGATATGCCAAATTTGAGAAGGGTCAGGTGTGACCACTCTAAACGTTCATGGACTCCGCCCCTCCGCTTTAGTATTCTACTCCTAGTTCAGTCTGGGCCGGCTTGCAAATGTTTCCAATTTCGAGAAAGACTGGCCCCAGCCTGAAACTTACCCCGCCGCGACAACCCCTGGCCCTGGGCTGACATGGTGGCACTGGCTTGCCTTTACTAGGACTTGCACTAGGTGCCTACCAGGTTGATATCCTTCATCTTCATAAACTCCCTAACCGTTCTTCTCTTCTGCAATGACAATAAAAAACTTGATTAATAATAATAACCAATCATGCTCAACAATTGACGACCCCTTGTGCGCCCCGCTTGGCATTGTAAACTATTTTTAGTCTCTATTTAAATATCCTCCTTCCAAAAAGTTAATTATCTAGTTGTGATCAAAGAAATAGGCGAATACAATTTTTCTATATATATAGAGAGAGAGAGAGAGCCGAGACAGAGACTAAACTGGTTTCTGAAAAATGGGAAACTCGGACAAACAATACTTTGGATGAGAACAGCAGCAATAGGATTAAAGAGATTTATGTAAACAGCGTTGGCCTTGAGAACCATTTTTATGATAGCCAGCCGGTCCCGGGTATAAGTTTTCGCTCCTCCTTTACCAATCCCACACCCGCACTATACATTACATAATCCCAGTAAACTAAAGTCAAGGTCTTTGCACATTTAAAAGGTGTTGCATGTCTCTGCTTAGTTCGAAAATAGCTTTAAAAAGCAACTTAGAACCTGCTTTTAAGAGCTGTTATCGAAAGGTCACTGCTTTTAAAATAATCGAGATATTTTATTTTTATCAAACATCCTAAACTGCTTAATTTTAAAGTGAAGCAAGTTTTTGGCCAAAAAAAAAAAAAATCTCAAACAAGACCTAATCACTTTGTTGTGAATAATCACGATATTTAAGTCTCCTAGAAGAATATAAAATTAAAAAAAAATTATAATATCACGCATCGGGCACGGCGGCTAACAACACTAAGGCATCAATATGCTCTTCAAATCTTTTCATCAATATTTCCATATTGTTTTATGTCTAGTAAATAACAGTTATTTGTAGCTTATACACATGCAATTTTAGTTAAGGATGATTTTATTTGAACTCCATAATTTGCTCTTTTGATCCCATATTAATTTTTAATATGAATAATTTATTTTACCCATGTACATAATTACTGTTAAGGACAAAAAATATTTAAAATAAAAATTAAATTTGCTCACTACACTCCATATAGAGAACTTTAAAATTATCAAAGATTAGATTCCTTCCAAACTTGATCAACCACATCCATATTTCCATAAGGACCCTATAATCCATATTACCATACGGTTTTATGACTAGTAATAGTTATTAGTGTTGTGCCGACGGCCTAATAAGAGTCCACTACCTGTCCAAATCATGCACCGATATTGTCCTCATCTTAACCACCTAGGTCTAATTCTTGAGTTGAATTAGGCCAAATTGACCTCTAGAGATAGAAATATGTCTTTGCACGTTTCAAGGAAGAAGATAAAAATATAAAAAGATAAAGCAAAAGATAAAGGTACAAAAAACAAAAAGGTGTTTATGTAGTGGATTAAAACGTCAAGGTCTTTGCGCGTTTCAAACATATAATAGAAAGATAGATCCTTACGAGTTTCGCACAAACAAACAATAAGAAAATCAAACCTAAACAGCACACCAAGTTGTTTATTTATTACAACTGGTAGTGGATCGTGCCTAAATTCTAATCTATCTATATATGAATGAGAAAACCTTTTATGTATTAAATTGTTTTATCATAAAAGATCTCGGTACTATTAGTTGTATAATCACTCAGACTCACTATTATATTCTATTTTTATATTAAATTCTAGGCACATTAAATTGGTTTGAAGGTGTTATGAATATTTTCAGCTCTACAAGTTGGTAGCAATCTTTACCTTCAACGACTTCGATTGATGAATTGAGTCTTTCACCAAATTGCTTAGACATTTGAAATATATGGAAAAGCACCGAACATGTGTTTTTGTTGTGCGGTGTTCTTTGCAGGATGATCATACAATATACGTATCCAATGAGGTCTTAATTAATAAGAGGTGAATAAATGAAGAAAGGGCTAAAAGGAGAAAGCATGACGATCACATCGTCACACAATTGTTATTAATTCACATATGATAATATGGGTGTAAGATATATTTTTATATTTTAGAGTATTTGATGTAGAATGGCTTGCAGAGGAGATTGAGGAGCAATTGGACCGATGCGCGCACAAGGTCATCAAAGCTGGTTGTTGCAGGTTTGGGCCTCAAGCTCCGATTGGGATCATAACTCGTCATTTTGAAGAGAATGAGATAATAAGATCAAAAGAACATTTTATTTTTTAGGTTGTTTTTGAAATTTTGTTGGTTTTGTTTTAGACTTTAATTATAATTCCTAATATTCGTTTGATTCAAGGTTTAGAAGCTTAGGAATGTGTATTAAATTGCATTTCAGTGTTTGGTAAGTGCGCTATTGGGAATATAATACCTTATTCATGTATATGAACTTCATGATGTGTAAGTCTCACATCGGAGAATGCAACGGTTGTCCACTATTAATTGCACTGAGGCCTTTTATGATAAAACCTCACACCTAGAGATTGATTGGGCCTTTTCTCTCCTAGGTGGTTGACGTGGAGAGACATAGCACTGGAGATCTGGACTTCTTTTTAATAGAGGTGGCCCCCACATAGGTAGGGCCTATAAATAGCAGAGCGTCAAATTAAAAAAATAAAATCACTCGATCAAAGGAGTTACAAAGGTTCCTCTCACTTGTGCAAAACGTGTGTCTTTCGGCTCTCGCTACCCAGGATTGTTGGCCTTTATCATGATTCATGATTCATGTCGGCTGTTTGGTCCCTCTTTTGCTCCTTTACTTTGCTTTTTCTTTTTTCGTTTGGTTTGTTTGTGGTGTGACTAGTCTGGGTTGTCTGGCCCGTGCGTTTGCAATTTTTATTTTTTTTTTTGTGTGTTCTTTTGTGCTTGATAGTTATATGATTGATTTTCCACACTCGACTAATGTAAGTGAATGACTCATAAAGATTAACTGATTTGGGTGATAAACTTGATGAAAAACAACATAATCTAAATTGATTGATAATTCAACCTACAACCTAAACCCAACTATCCTAGAAAGCACCAAGTTGTCTATAATATCATCGAGACAACCTTCTACACTACATACTATTGTTAACCTGTTGTGTCACATAAGGTGTTGGTGTTGTTAGCTGACTGAGACAAACGGGGCATGTAGAATAATAGCTACAAATACAACATTACATAAACAAAACCATGACATAATTATGCTCTCTGCCCTTATCTTGTATGGTCGGTCAGCTGTTTTTATCACCAAACATTGCTTCTGCTTCTGGTTTGTATCAGAGTAAACTGGTTTGACCAGATTATATCCTATTTATTACCACCTCTTATGGAAAATTCACATCCAAAAATTTGGTTTCTGGGACAGAAGCCTATGCTGAATTCAATTTGCCTGACTGCTGACGGCTGACGCAGTCCATGTAATGATTCAATCGATGCATTTGAATATGCTCTGCTCTACCAATTAGAATTCATAAACTAGCGATCTAATATTATTTTCCCTCCAAACTTGATCAACCACATCCAAATTTCCATAATGTTTTATGACTTGTAAATGTAAAACAGTTATATGTATTTCTTTGCTGCTTGCAGCTTCAATTCAAATGCCATTTATTTACTTTTTACTCGCAATTCACTGAGAATGATGGGTTCCTCAGTTACTGCATTTACACTTTGCATCATCTCGTGCACTGAATCCATCATCTTTGGCATAAAAAAAGTGCAGCACTTTGCTCATGTTCCAAACCAAATCCTTGCAAGCCCTTGGTACTATGCTACCCGACTCCTGTAAAACTAATCGTAGCAGCTCTCCCCTCTTACTTTTTATAATACTATTTATCTCATTGATGGCCTCTTCTTCAGTAACGACACCGTTCCCATGAATCATGGTCAACGATAGAGCATTTAGCTTCCCTTCAGCAGAATCCCTCTGCAACACGGCCAGGAGTTATGAGTTAACGATAACAAATTGGATACTAGTTTTTCTTTTCGAAAGAATAATGTGGGCATATTATCCAATGTTTTCAAAGGCGAGGCGTATAGGCGAGGCGTTTTTAGTAGCGCTATGCGAGACGTAAGCCTTGAAGCATTGAGGCGTAAGCCTTTTGAACATTAAATTATTTTAATAACAAAAATTTATAAATAATACAACACAACTAAATTATAGTACTAACTAGCAAAAGGTGCCCGCGCGATGCTGCGGGTTTTAAAATTGCGTGAAATGTGTATAAAGCGATGAAAATAGGCCGGGAACATCTCAACTACCCAGTTGCCAAAATACTCAGGGTCTACCAACATGTTCAAATATTGTAATCATCTAAACCTATCATTACAACAACAAATTAACACCAACTAATTGCCAATTGATGCCATTAGCTAATTCCTATGCTCTATTCATAAAACTTAAAACAATTAATTGAAATTTCAGCCTAGAAACTCACCCCTTACTTAACAGAACTGAAAACACCAACCAAACCGCTCTATCCAAAGCAACGAAAGACCACCTGCAACATATCAAAAGAAAACATGGTTTTAAAAAAAAGAAGAAGAAAAAGGAAGAAAAAACAGAAAAATCGGAGAAGAAATTAGCTTGAGTATTTCATGCATGCACAATCTTTTCATTAAACCAAAAAATTAGCTTGACCAAAATCTGTAAGGAAAGAAACCACTCAAGACTACCCAAATTAATGTGTTTTGGGTAAAGAAAAACATTGTAAAGGCATAGGAAAAGGGCTGTTTAAATGATTCTAGATGCATTTGAAACAAAGAGTATATGATCAAAAAGCTACTGGCCTAAACAATCAAAAGTTACCTATGCAAAAGTCACCCTAAACAACCGAAATCCCAAAACAACTATCTCTGCATTGTTGTTGTCATCAAAGATTTGAAAATTCTATCTCGTAACCCTAC